CTCTCGCTCTCGCCCCGCGGGAAGGGGGAGTGGAGGCGCGACCGGCTGCGGGAGCTGCAATTACCGTGTGGGCTGCGGAATTCTCGTGGTGTTTGTCGGGGAGATGCGATAATGGCGTCCGTCCTCGCGAGAGAAGCAGCCGCTCTGCGCAGGCGCGGCGAGCACCTCCCCGCGCCCTGCGCCCCGCTCTCAGCGCAGGCTCCCTAGGCTCTGGGCTCGAGGGAGGAGCCAGGCGGACAAGGGGCGGAGCCTGCCCGGGGCGCCTCTAGCGCGCGCTTTGCTCGACGGACTCCGGCGAACATGCGCAGTTGTCCTCCCGTGCTCCGAGAGTTGACTCCCAAGGCCCTTAATTCCCCTATCACGCCCGTGATTTTTGCTAAAGCGGTAAATTCTCCTGTGAGAAATCTGAGAAATGTACGTCCTTTCTGAGGGGGGAGTGAATAGACGCTAATGCTGCCAAATGACTACAAATCCCAGGGTAGGCTTGTGTGGCGCGATGCATTTTGGGGCAGGTAGTCTCCGTAGTTATGATTTGCCTGCTGGGATTTGTAGTTTATCCGGATTCTGGCAGCCGCGTCCCGTCCCTGCCCTTGAGGGCTGCTGGGACTTGTAGTGACAGCTGCTCAGTTAGACTGTGCGTCTCAAAACCGGTCCTACCTACTCGCGCTGCGGATCGGTCTCGGACGTTCCGGGCTCGTCTAGTGACATTGTCGCAAAAATGATCCTACTCCCGTGTGGGCAAGCTGGTGGCGCGGACATTGTCGCGGTGATAGAGACTGTATGTGACATGCTTATGTATACTTCTTGAATAGGAGCTTCTGCGGCATTGATGTGCACTTACTCCCAGAAATGCCACTACTGGCTGTCTCTGCACTTGGTTTCTCATTCTCGTTCCCCTCCGGGCTCGCTCCTTCCGCATGTTCGCAGTGAGCAACCCTCCAAACCAGGATCCGGGAGCTATTTTCACTTAGAAAGAAAAACTTGACCTTAAGTTTCCTGCTCCCTTCCCCTGGTGCCGATAATAAAGTCATGACTCAGTGACTCAGTGCAGCCACCAGTTGGGCGACCCTACTGAGTTAACACCCTTCTAGACCACTGCGCTCTGTCTGGGGGGCTGGTCCTGGGCTGCTTTGCCTCACAAGTGTCTTGAAGACCTCGACCAGGAACTGTGCTGTTAAAACGAAACTTATCATTTACAGAGACGAGAATGAAGTCCAAAGAGGCTGAGAAATTGCTGGAGGTGGCGGCTGGAGCCAGGAGGGCAGGCTTTGGGCGTCTTACCCTTTTAAGTTGCCCCGCAACCATGTAGAAAGGAAGTTGACGCCTTCCTGTCCCTGTGGGCCCTTTAAGAAAGGCTTCTCCAAGCAGCATGGCCAGGGCCATCAAATACACTGTCCGTATGTGGAAGCTTTCATACATGAGAGGGACCCTGTTGGTGCTGCTGGCAAACCTGTGGGCAGAGTCCAGGGTCTCACCCACTACACAGCATCCTGCCTCAGGAACTACATGTGGATCAGGTAGGGTCTATGCTGTGGAGATGGGTCCAGGGCATCTCCAGCCGCCTCCGCAATCGGAACATCCAGCCACAGCCCTGCCTCAGCCACTGTGGCTCCACTACTCCTTAAGCTCTTGAGCCTGCCCTCTTCTGTTCACTTATGTGAGAGTTCTGTGTCTGGGCTACAAGTCCCCAGAACAGGGTCAACACCACAGGGAACGGGGACTTCACCCTCAGCCATCCCTCACATCCTTCCTGGTGCTCTCAGGGATTCCATGTCAAGTTTAACTCTCTGGCAAGCTTGCCCAACTGTTTATCAGTGACCTGAGTGGCCTGTTCCCAGCCAAGGCCACTGGTCCCCAGTTGTCCACTCCTGACCTGGGACAGGCAAGAGTTGAAATTTAACCTCTAGGTTCAGAGGTTTCAATGAGTGCCTCAAAAAAACAGGGGTGCACCCCCACTCCACAGTAGCCCTGATCAAAACAAGGGCAGACGGTGGGGAACTGACACACTATGCTCAGAGCCACAAGGCTGGGGAGAGGCCCCCACAAGCCCTTAGCCATCCTCAGACACATGGGGCCTCTCTGTGCTGTGAGGCCACAGCTCTGGTGCTTCCGGCATTCCTGTGCAGAAAAACGCGGCAGCTGTGTCCGTAAGTAGACCATTAGGCTCTCCCAGTTGTGGGTTAATGTCAGCGCAGTCCTTAGGGTGGCTTTAAGAGGCAACACAGCCCAAAGCTGACTGGCTCCTGTCCTGATTTGTACAGTGTCTCTGGTATCTGGTGGGCCTGAGTGAGGCACTTCACTCTGGTTTGAGGTAAAAGAGAAGGAGAGGCACGCTCCAAGCCTCCAACCGGGCCTAAGGCACTTCCTGTAAAATGTGTGTCCTGACTCAACACTAGAGCTGCCTGGCCTAAAGACTTCGGGCTTCTGCATTTGGAAGGGCCAGGCCCCAAGTCCTAAGTGTAGTCAACAGGTGACTTTGAAGAGGTCACAGCTTTACTAAATGCCCTGCCTCCCTAAGCCTCAGTTTCCTTATCCACAGGACAGGCAAGATGGGTGCTGTCTCCAGCATCTGGCGAGAAGCCAGTGTGGAAAGCCTGGTGCACACGGGTTCTGCTGTTCATCCCAGGACACCCAGCACCACACAGTTCTGTCTGCAAGCCCCAAGGCAACCAAAGAAGCACCCAGGCCTCCAAGCCTGCCCCTGCCAAGCAGGAGCTCAGGCCTGGATGGATGACAAAGAGCCTGGGTGATGAACCCCATCCCCCAGTGACCCCAGCACAGTGTCCAGACTCTGGAGGCAGGAGCTACTCAGAGATGCAGGGAATAAGAAATCCAAGCGGCCCTCAATAAATCAGCCATTGTGACCCACGTGTCACACCCCCACCCAGGAGGATCTAGGGTGGAAACTCTGTCACCCCTTTCCTTTCCTGTCCTTTCAGGGTCACAGGTATTCCTTAAGGGTTCCCAGGTGTGTAATACTTTCTGAGACCCTGCTGGAGACAGAGAATCCAGCTCTGACCAGACTTCCTATAAAGCTAGCCACACTGGAGGGGTACACGCACTTAGATTGCCACACAACCTGTGCCTGGACCCTCTTTATAGTCTAGCACCTTCCAAGACCATGTGCAAGTAGGGAAGGATTACATACAGCCATGGAGCAAGGAGGGTGGGAATGGCTGCGATCTTAGGTAAGGGTCTGTCTCTTGACTCTCTTCCACTCCATCTGTGAGAAAATGTTAATGGGAACATATTCTAAGTTTCCTGGGGAAGATCACAACTGCTCTAATTCCAAGATGGCTGTAGTCATGTCACACCCAGAGGACCTTCCACAGCTGTCACGGAAGGGTAATAGGAGTATTTACCACTCCAAGTTGTTAAAGACAAAACAAGGCCATTGTTTCTGGTCAGCAAGCCCAGGTCCTGTTCTACCCAGATACATACTATGGGCAAAACAAAGTCATTGTTTCCGGTCAGCAAACCCAGGTCCTGTTCTACCCAGACACACACTGTGGGCAAGCAGCTTTTGTGGTGCTGGAAGCCTGGGCCCTGAGAGTCCAAAGCCTGGGGGTAAGACTGGCAAAGCCAGAGGCTCACAACTCCACCCTCTGAGAGCCGAGGGCCCACTGCCCTGGGTTTTATAAGCCAGAGTCTTCTGGCTCCAGGATCTCAGGCTCCAGGCTCATGGCTCTGAGCTTTAACCCCAGCACTGGGCGGGCAGCTGCTGCAGTCCTTGGCTCTAACAGCTGTGAGAAGCAGCAGGCAACTGTTGCTAGTGTTACTATTCCAGAATGTGCCTAGGGCGGAGGCGGGGATCTTCAACCTGGGGCAGAAGTTAGTGATACAGCTGTCGTGCCTACAGGGTCTGAAGCTTGGCCCTTAAGGTTTGCCAGCTCCCTGGAAGTCATCTGGTGACAGCGGCTGGCAGCTTCTCATCTTCCATCTTCATAAGGTCCAATGTCGCCACTGCTGTGCCCCCCACCCTGCCACTCTCTGGAACTCTTCAGCTGTCTTCTCAGTGCTTCTGTGTATGATTGTATGCGTGTGTCCACATCAATACTGCTGCCCCCAACAACTGCCTCTTCTGTCTCCTCTTCCTGTTACCTGCTCAGCCCAAAGACAAGGTCCTTGAGAGAAGCCTTCTCCACTCCACCCTACCCTACTCCACCCCTGAGACAAGGCTTCTCTGTGTAGCCCTAGCTGTCCTGACACTCACTCCATAGACCAGCCTGGTCTCTCACTCAGAGATCTGCCTGCCTCTGCTTTTCAAGTGATGGGATTAAAGGAATATGCCACCGTGGCCCTGCCTGAGAAGTCTTTTTTTTTCAATTGGACCTGATGTTACAAAATGAGAGAACAGAGCAGAAAAAGGCCCCCCAGGTGACTTCGAAAAGGAACTAAGTAAATTAAGTTATATAGTCAGAGGTGGGTGTGGCAAGGGTTTACACCAATCACAGGCCAACTCTGTATGCAAATGAAGGATTGGGTATGTACCAATCACAGGCCTTCTGCTGGGCCACCAAGCTACTTCCCCCTCTGGTCTGGGTGGGCATAGCTACAAGGGGCAACTGGAATTCACTGAGGCTGGTTCTATAATCTGCAGTGCTGGGGAAGCAAAGACAAGCAGATCCTTGAGGCTCAATGATGAGGTAACCTAGCTCACTCAGTGACTTCCAGATCAATAAGAGAATATGTCTAAAAAAAGAAAAAGGAAAAAAAAAGATAGGAGACACCTGAGAAATGACATCCAAGTTGTCTTCCGTTCTCCACAATCATCCAGGCATGTGAGTCCCCCTCCACAAAGGTTTTATGACCCAGGAGAACTAATTATCAACCATTGTCATCCCCTGGCTGTGTGTTCCTGGAAGTTTTTTGGTTAAATTTGGTTTGGTTGAGACAGGGTCTCGTCATTACGTATTGTGAAACGCTCAGGCTGGCCTGAAACTTTCTGTGTAGACCTCGCTGCCTTTAAATTTGGAGATCCATCTGTCTGTCTCCTGCGGGCTGGGGTTAAAGGTACTTGGGCTTGAACCTTTCAATAGGTTTTTCATACTCACAAGTTGGTGGGTCTTCCAGGGTTTGGTTCATCCAGGTGGGGTTGGGCCATATCCCAGCAGACAGGTGAGCTGCATCTGTTCAAGGCATTTCTTACACACCCCAACTCCCTCATCCCTCCCCACCCTGCCAGCAGCCACCTACGATGTAGTTTTCTCATGGAGAGCCCAATCATGCAAACATAAAGCCCCTGCTCAGTCAGAAGAGGCAGAGGCAAGTAGATCTCTGTGAACTCGAGGCCAGTCTGGTCTGCATAGTGAGTTCAAGGATAGCCCAGGCTATGTAGAAAGATCCTGTATCAAAACAAAGCAAAATATAAATAAATTAAATTAAAAAAATAATGTCCCTGCTTACATCATAGCCACTGATGTCCCAAGTGGAAGCGAGTTCCCAGAAGTCACACCCAGTGACAGTTGGGTAGGGAGGGTAGTTGCCCCGGGAGGGTGGAAGGGAAGGAGGAGTAGGTAGGTGTCTGTTGTTTGATCAGCAAGTCTGGTGAAGGGAAACTCATGAAGCAGGGGGTCCTGTTGGGGCTTCGCTCTTGGCGCTAGGTTGGTTCCCGGGGCAGAGGCTGTGGCTGGATTGTCAGCTCAGACCACCTGCACCCGGGCCACATTTGCACTGCACGGCTTTGTTAAATGACTGAAAAGAGAAACTCTGTTTCATTTGCATTACTTCCCATCTGAAACCAAACCAACTTACTCTGATGGCGATGATATATTTCTTTGTTGAGACAAAAGTCTCCCCATGTTGTGGCTTTGTCTTTGGCACAATGGCTGCACCTTAATCTACTGCTGTTTCAGCCAGCGATGGTGACTCCGCTGTTAGGGCCTCATTCTCTAGCAGCAGCCTGGCGTCAGGTCGTAGTCTGGTGGGAATTCTGTTCCTGCAGGTACTGGCGCTGTTGCTGTCACTAAAGGTAGCATTAACTAAATCTTTATGTTCTATTTATAAATAAAATTCAAGACTCAAAGACTGGGCTGAAAACCTGCTAATTTAAAGAGGTTGGGGAGCAACTAGCTAACCTTCTCTCCTGGCTGGTGTCTCCCAAAAAGCATGTCCTTCTGCTCTGCCAAAATAAATAAATAAATAAATAAATAAGCAAGCAAGCCACTCCAAATCCCTCCCCACTACTTCCGGTGTGTCTCATCTCTTCCAGGTGCCCTCTGAGACTCAGTAATTACTTTCTGTCAACTAGTTGCTAACTTAGCTTCCTGACCCAAGGTTAATTTTATTTAATTAATGTAAATGCTAACTCGTGGTTCATAGTGTAATCGAATATCCCCCAACACTATGTAGACCAGGCCAGCCTCAAACTCACAAAGATCTACCTGCCTCTGCCTCCAAGGGTTGGAATTAAGGTGAGATCCAGCAGGCCGGAGCATGAGGCCAACTTTACCTAGGCGAGCCTTATCTTGCTCTGAGAGGTGGTCGCATGAGGCCAATATGAGTAAGTATTTGAGACTTATTTCATATTCAGGTGGCATCGACACTTTGGATGCACCAATCAGCAGCTTCCCCTCACATCGCAGCAGATGCTCCGCTCAATACAGATGTTTCCCTTTTGGTGATCTCATTTACACAGCTCAGCTAACGGATCTGAAAATATCCACACTTCTCACACCTTGAGTTTCTGAGTCAGGGAAGCCTGAGATGCCAGACTGGAAAAGAGCTCTGCTAGGGCCTTTGGACATGCCTGCATTTGGTTTCAATTGAGCCTTCTGCAGCTGTGTTAAACACCCGTTGCCCAGTGGGAAAATCAAAGGCATGGTTTGTGACGTGTAAACTCTTGAGTCTCTCTTACCCCAGATGTGGTCGAGGTCCCTGCTGTTCCAAGGCCCTCTTAATAGAGCACAGGTATTCCAGGCTTGGGGACCCAGCTGGCCTCGAACTCCCAGAGATCCCCTTGCCTCTGCCTCCTGAGTGCTGGAATAAAAACCATGGGTCCCCATGGTTCCCTACTGGGTCTTTTTCTCAAAGCTGGGTCCCTGTTTCTTCATGCCTTCCCTACTGACCCCTCAGTGAAGGTATCCTCTCTGTCTCCAGCGCAACCCCTCTGGACTGGTCCTGTCTCCTCACTGGGAGGCACCCGGCAGTCTCCCATCAACATTCAATGGAGGGACAGTGTGTATGACCCACAGTTGACACCGCTCAGGGTCTCCTATGATGCGACATCCTGCAGGTACCTCTGGAACACCGGTTACTTCTTCCAAGTGGAGTTTGACGATTCCTCTGAGGAGTCAGGTGAGCTTGGGTGGGGGTTCAGGAGCTGGGATCCTTTGAATCTGAAATGTTCCCCTAGGCAGGAGCACCTGAGTACCTTGTCCCCCACTGATGCCTCTGTTCATTGAGGTATAGAACCATTGGGAGATGGGGCCTTTCTGGAGGAAGTGGGTCACCAGGGCAAGTGTTGGGGTCATACATTATCCCTGGATCCTTCCCTTTCCTCCCCTTATATGTGTGTGTGTGTGTGTGTGTGTATGTGTGTATGTGTGTGTGTGTGTGCAGGTGTGCAGTTGTACATGCATTTGCATACAGAGGTCAGAACAGAGGTCAGAGATCAACCCCAGGTGTCATCCTCAGGATGCCTTCCACTGTTGTATGAGAGTGTGAGCTGCATCCCGCCGCCTGGCTAGTTTATGCCTGAAATAATCATACGGAAACTGTACTAAATTACTGCCTGGCCCATCATCTCTAGCCTCTTATTGGCTAGAGATAACTCTCACATCTTGTTTTAACCCATATCTGTTAATCTGTGTGTTACCACGAGGTTGTGGCTTACCAGGAAAGATTTAGCATGTCTGACTCTGGCGACTCCATGGCGGCTCTCTCCGCCTGCCTTCTTTCTCCCAGCATTTTTTTTTTGAGAAAGTAGCCTTCTTTTTTTAAATTTATTTATTTATTTATTATGTATGCGATATTCTGTCTGCGTGTATGCCTGCAGGCCAGAAGAGGGCACCAGACCCCATTACAGATGGTTGTGAGCCACCATGTGGTTGCTGGGAATTGAACTCAGGACCTTTGGAAGAGCAGGCAATGCTCTTAACCTCTGAGCCATCTCTCCAGCCCCTCTCCCAGCATTTTGTTTTGTCTACTCTGCCCACCTAAAGAAGACCAAGGCAGCTTCTTTATTCAACCAATGAAATCAGCACAAATACAGAAGGACCTCCTACACATTCCACCTTGATTTTTGAGACACAGGATCTCTCTCTGGCCTGAGACTCACCCAATAGCCTAGGTGGGCTGGCCAGCGAGCCCCAGCTCTGCCTGTCACCTCTCTAGCACTGGGGTCACATACACAAGCACTGTGACTTGCTGTTTATGTGGCTTCTGGGGATTAGGTCCCCATGCTTGTGTAACTGAGTCATCTCCCCAGCCCCTGGCTCCTTTCTCCAGTTTCTGCTCCTACCAACACGGAGCTGCTCTGCCCTCCTTCCCCAACACAATGGACACAATTTCCCCTCTGGAAACCGAGAGGCAGCATAAACCTGGAGCAAATCTTAAGTTGCTTCTGGGAGGGACTGGGCCTCAGGAATCTACAAGTAACTAACACAGCGGCCATTCTTCTCCTCCATGACGTCACAGACTCAGCAAAGAAGGGGAACCTGGGCGGGGCTGGGAGGCGGTGCTCACCTAAGGGGGGGAAAGCATGTCACCAGCAGTCACCTGAGTCTTGATGTCTCAGGAGGATGAAACCAGAGACAGAGTAGGGTCCCTTCCCGTGCCAGGCAAAGGAAAAAGCAAACTAGCTAAGGCTGGTGAGGGCCGGGAACTGGCCTTCTGGGGCTGGCAGGGGCATAAGAGTCACACTCTGTAGACTTACAGCTCTCCTTGGTGTGGCCATTGCACGTTGCACCTTCAAGTTCCAGGGAGCAGCTTCTCTAATGGTGGAGTCGGGAGAGCATTCCCAGTCACTCTGTGGGCCAGTCCTGGCACTACTGCTGCCACTGTTCCTGTCCCTCTCAGTCTCAGACCCCTGATTTCACCCCACCCCCACACACTCCCACCCCTCTTTAAGACGAAGGTCTGCAGTGGCTGAGACCAGCCTCACCTCTTGACTTTGACCTCTTGACCTTCCTGCTTCCACCTCCCCAGTGCTAGAGTTCTGGGCCTTTTGGTCTCTTTCCCAGTGAGCTGTTTGTTGTGTTCGTTCAAACTTCTTTTGGTTGCGCACTGCCTTAAGCAAAGAAGAGAGCACTTAGAAGGCTCCAATTCAGAGAAGTCCCACAGGGTCCAGAGTGACAAATGACTCCCTGGGTGAACTTCCTAGAGGTAACAAAATGAACGGCCTCAGTTCAGCGCCAGCTCCCCCCACCGAACGGCTGGAGAAGAGGGCTATGTCAAATTCTGGCCACTGCCCAGTGTCCCACTGCTGGTCACCAAGCAGGGGTGACTCCCACCGGTATGTTGCCAATGTGAGGGTGACCCTGACCTAATGTGCACAAGTGAAGGGAACATGGCCCCCCACCGGACCTCAGGGCATGGCTCTCGGAAGAGGGAAGGAGTCTAGAAAGCCAGCTGCTGAGAATCCTCACTCTCTTACCCCAGTTGACCTTAGCTCTTTCATAACTTGATTGCTCCAAGCCCCGTGACCCTTCCACTTTGACCTCAGCCTGACCCCACCCCTGGCATCACCACCTTCCCCATCTGGATCGAAGGGGTGCTCCCTACCCTGCCGCAGACGGCAAGAATCATCTGAGTGTCTCGCATCACGTAGACCAGCAGCACATCCTTGGCTCGCATCCCCCAGGCCAGTCTGCCCTTACTGTGTCCCCCCTGTGGCTTCCCTGGCTGGGCTCAAGTTCCCACGTTCCTCATTCTCTTGTCTTCTTCATTTGCCTCCATTGGAAATCAGGAAGAGAGGGTGGGAAACACCAGGAAGGGGGTAAGGGGGGCGCCGGGAGGGGATGACACCACCAGAAAGTTTCCAGTCAGAATCAGGAAATGACTCTTCCATTTAAAACAAAACAAAACAAAAAAAGAGAAAACGAACAAAAACTGAGCAGAAAAGAAGGAAAGACAGAGGCCTCTCCTGAGAAGATAGTTAAGTTAGGGGTATGGGGGCGGGCACGTGGTATGGAAGCCATTTTATGTAAAGTGTGATTCTCTGGGTCTAGTTTTGTGGTCAGTGCTAGCAACTGCGATCACATACCCGCAGGGGGCACAGAGCAGTTGCCCAGGGAGCCAAAGAAGGCACCAGGAACTGTTCCCGGAGGTAAGGGATGTGGTCCCTTATAGGTTGTCATTGCCACGGCGATGAATCACAGAAACAGATAGAGCCTGTGAATGGCTGAAGACCCCTGGACTAAAGGCCTTGCCAAGGGAGGCAACAGAGAGACTGTAGGGAGAAAAGGATGAAGACAGGGGGCGTGGGGGCAGGGTTGTCACACAGGACATAGCAACCAGGCCTTAATGCTCATTAAGCCGTACGTGAGCCAATGCCCCATGGAAGCTTCCCGTGGAGGGGAGCATGAGATGGTGTTTAGAGCAGCAAGCTGCGCCTTGGGGAGCAGGAAGGACAGAATATGCCCCCATCTACTTATCAATCGGGGGTGTGAGAGGCCAGCAACCCTCTGGTCAACCCTCTTCTGCTCCGGTACTGAAGCTGCACACTGGCTCCATGGAACTGGAAGGGCTTGAAAATGAGGGCACCTGGAATGCCGCCAAAGGATTAAGCATTCAGTACAGGACCTCTTCGCCCACTGCGGTTACAGCCAAGTGCTGGCTTCATGCCCTCTGCAAGGCTGTCCAACAGAGGGAACGCCAAGATGCAGGAAGCAGACACTAGCCCAGAGCTCAAGGGGGCTTCCTCTGACCGTAGAGAGCTTGATCACTAAAACCCATTCAAAAGTCAGTTCAAGCACCTGTGTAACAATGACACCCTGAATTGCTGATGTGAACTGAGGTCACTCTGTTACAGTCCTGGCCAGAAAGAAAACAACCGAGAGAGATGCTTCAGTTATCAGAATATGGAAACATGGACCTGGAAGAATTATATTTCCCCCTAGGAATTCACAGTGGAACGAAAAGCCTGAATCCTGGTGTCGGCCAGAGGACGACCTCACCTCCTGGGATGGTTCTGACAGCTGTGTGAGGTCCCATCTAGAGACTAAACTGAGACAGGGAAGGGTTGCTGTTGGGTGGGACCACACCGTGACTAGGTCTGCTTAGTTGTACATATCCTTTACCCTGAATTTAACCCCAAATCTCCTGTTAGGACCCTAGGGATGGACTTGAGGGTAGTTTTTGAACCTTTGTATTTCTTCCCCTTCCCAATGTGGCTACATTGAATGAAACCCCTTTCTCTGCTTTTCACTATTACCTGTCTCTTTAAAAAAGATATTGGGATGAGAGACTGAATCTAGCTTGTTGGGGCTGCCAGGATCCAAGCTGTGCCTGTAAAAATTTCCATAGCATCTCAATAGTCCGCCAAGGCTTCTGATCCCCTAAGTAAAAACTGATGGTTGTTGATCGAGGCTGTGTGTTGGTTTCCTGACTTCCCAGACTCAAATACTCACACAGAAGATATATTAGTTACAACACTGTTTGGCCTATTAGCTCGGGCTTCTTATTAACTAACTCTTACATCTTAAATTAACCCATTTCTATTAATCTGTGTATCACCACAAGGCTGTGGCTTACCAAATGAGTTCTTGCGTCCTCCTTCAGCAGTTACATGGCATCTCTTTGATTCCGCCTACTCTCTCTCTATATATCTGAGTTTGGATTTCCTACCTGCCTTTACTCTACTAAGCCATTGACTAAAACAGCTTTATTCATCAACCAGTAAAAGTAACACATACACAGAAGGACATCCCACATCAGATAGTCATCATTATAGTTGGTTTTTTTTTTTTTCTCCTTTAGGGGCCTGTCACCCAGCTTCCAAATAAATACATGGAGACTTACTTAGTCTTAGTCTTGCTTATGAATGCCCAGCCTTGGCTTGGGTTGTTCCTAGTTAGCTTTTCTTATCTTTTTTTTTTTTTTTGTGAGACAGGGTTTCTCTGTGTAACAGACCTAACTGTCCTGGAACTAGCTCTTGTAGACCAGGCTGGCCTCAAACTCACAGAGATCTGCCTCCCGAGTGGATTAAAGGCATGCACTACCACCACCTGACTCTAGTTAGCTTTTCTGGCTTAAATTATCCCATTTCTCTTTAACTACATTTTGCCTCTAGGCTTTCAACCTTTCTTTATCCTGTCTATCTTTCTTTCCTTCTTCCTCTGCAGTTGACTGGGTAG